AATGGGTGAACCTGGTCTGTAACTATGTCCAAGTAGCTTACAGACGTCAAGGATTGTTCTGTGAGGATTATGGGTCCTAATGTGCCCCATGTAAACGTTGTTTCAGGGAGAGAAACCATGAAAACCTGGGCAAGCCCATTGTTATAGATTGAGGGTGGTCATAATATAATGGCTCTTCGGTGTATATGGTAGAATAAAAAATAAGATTTTGCATTCAAATTCAATTAAGAAGTTAGAAAAAGAATTCTGCGAAACACGCGCAGATAGGTAATTTATAAATTTATTTTAAGATTAAGGCGATATATAAGATGTAAAGAAGTTTTAAAATAATTAAAAATGCTGACAACGTATTTTTATTACTATACTGTTCGAATTAATTGGGACAAATAAAAAAAAAGTGATTTATTGAAACTTTTGCTTTTAATCATTACATACCTTAAGTTACATTGATACATGTCTGTATTAATATGAAGTATGTCCTCCTTTAGCAGATAAGACTTCAAGAACACGTTTTGGCATTGATTCCACTAGTGTAGCGCACATGTTCTTGAATTCATCGTCGTGGAACCATACTTGAATAGCACTCTTTATCATTTGTTCTGCTGTCGTGCAATTCATCTTGGCTAAGCGATTCTTTAGAATATGCCACAGGTTCTCAATGGGATTTAGGTCTGGTGAACTACCAGGCCAATCAAGCACTTTTATTTTGTTTTCTCGCATAAAATTCTAGGAATTGTGACAAGGGGCCAAATCATGTTGAAATGTTCCGTCGAATGTTTCCATGAATGGAACAATCCTACTATGTAATATATCGATGTATTTGGCAGAATTCATCATGCCCTTTAGAGGCACTAAGCTTCCAGTGCTGTTTGTTGTGAAGAAACCCCAAAACATTTGTTTAGAATTGTGTTTTACAGTCTGTTGGATATGATCTGGTCTCAGACTTTCGCCTTCACTTCGTCTAACTACACATGATTTGTATCCCTGCACAAATAAATGTGTTTCATCACTGAAAACCACTTTCTTCCAGTCATTTACAGTCCATTTTTGGTATTTTCTGGCCCATGCTAAACGTTTTTTCATCATTTTCTGAGTTAGAAATTGTTTTTTCCTTGGTCTTCTTGCCTTACGTCCAACTTCAAGAAGCCTTTTTCGTACAGTTGAAGTACTCACATCAACACCACAATCCAATAAATCCCTTCTCAGGTCTGTGCTCATCTTTCTTAGATTAATTTTACTATTTCTTATTAGACTTTTATCAGTTCTTGGAGTAGTTTTCCATTTGCGTCCACATTTTCTTTTTCTTTTTGGAGAGGATGAGCCGGAGTCTTGAAATGTTCTAAGAATTCTGGAAACACTAGATTTCCCTGCACCAACTGCTGTAGCTATGTCTCTTACAGTCATAGAACTTTGTTCATTAAGAGCGATAATTTTAGAGCGCTTCCTCGGACTAATATCCATCTTTTATAAGCACATAACTTGTGTTAGACTAAACTCTAAATTATAACCACCAGTTTCCACACTGAAATGCTCACAACTGAACTGCAAATACACTAAAACCAGTCAGACGAGTAAATTATAGTGAAGGTCTATCCATCACCCCAGCTCAAGGCAGATATAACTGATTTGAAGCGGTTCGGGACATCACTGGCAATTCCATGCCATCTCAAATGAGAAAATCTTGCTTGTCCCAATTAATTCGAACACTGGATGGGTGGTCTAATGTAAACAATAACAAGCGTCCTTAAACCGGAAGAAATTTAGAAAATTTCCGGTGTATCCAATTNATAGATAGATAGAACTCATAAAATAAGTTAAAATATTGACAAAACATGGAAAATAATAAAAATTAATGAAAAGAGAACAATAAACTTATTAAAATAAAATATTTAAGCAAAAATTTTATTTATTTATTTAAAAAAAAGCTTTTTAAAAAGCTGGAAAACAAAATGAATAAAAAGATATAATCTCTTCATCAGCTGACACGATTATATCCGCAATAAGAAGTGCTTTCTAATATTGTATCAATATAACCAAAGCAAATTATATCAAAAAAATGCGTGCACGCTCCTCACACTATTGTATTAATATATTTTGCTTTGGCTATATCGATACAATATCAGAAAGAACTCTTTTTTGCGGATATAATCGTGTGGGCTGATGAAAAGATTATATCTTTTATTTTCAGGATTTTTTTTAAAAAAATTTCATCTCTTTTTCTTTAGTTGTTTGTTATATTTTTTTCCTCATTATTATTCTCCCCCTTTTTTTTCATGTGTCTATAATTTTCCTTTGTTTTATCTTCATTTTGAACATTGTCATTTTCTCCTGGTTCATGAAAACACCACCTATACCTTTAATATTAAAATATCCCTGATCTTCACGTTAGACTTTTTAAGAAAATCCCACTTTTTAGGTTTTTCTAACAGATCAAAGTCATTTTTTCTCAATAAAGCTCACTCAACTTTTTCTGAGTTTTCTTCTTAATCTTCTTTTTCCTTTAAGAGACATGTTTATAAGCTGTTTGTGGCTTTTTTGACATTCTTTTTCTATCTTGTTCGGTTAGCCGAAGTTATTGTCCTTTTGTCTGTAAGAAAAGATTTCCGATTGATTCAAAATCAGAAGGGTGGTGGTGGGATTGGAAATGCACGATAAAAGGGTGGTTGGTTAAAGGAAGTATGGGAGCTTAAATTTCAAAATTTGCGAGTGGAATTTTTTTCCAGCAGAATTGATTGCAGTGACCTTAAAGATGCTTCTAAAGCAAAAATGAATGCTTTGATTTCTCTGAAGAATTCTACAGCAGCCGACAGTGTTGACTAAAAGGCATCACAATTGGGTATTTCATAAATGCGAACCAAAACATTTATTAATAATGCGAAGAACCAAAATTTATTATTCATTTTTAGAATTTTTTTTAAAATTTATAAAAGGTATTATATTCTAATAAACTTGCGCAAGAGGTGCCGACTGAAATAAGTGTAGTTATATGATATGAAATATACAATAATATAAAAAAATATGTAACGCTTCAGCAGTTAACAACACCACATACTTTTGAACGAAGGAGTGTCGGGTTTCGTTACAGGAACATGTTACTAATTTGGAATTGCAATTAAAAGAACTGTTTAATGCTTTTAAATCCGGAAACTATCCATGGTTTAGGGTAGTACAAAATAGTGGGGAGGTCATGAATAAGCTTAAAATTTGTAGTGATATCGCTTCTATAAGCACCTTTGATTTTGCTAATCTTTTTACCACCTTGCCTCTAAATCTCTCTTTCTTAGCAATTTCTAATTTAGTTCAATTTGTCTCTACACAAATTAAATTTTGTATTTATAAATTTCAAGCACTCTTGAAATCTTGTCTTTACATAAATTAGATCAATAATCATTAATTTTACTCTTACATATGAATTGTATTGCCATGGGCGTTCAATTCTGGCTAATCTTTTTTTTATTTACTATGAAAAACAACTATATAACGAGATAAATCAAATTTTTCTTTATGTTGCAGATATTGCGAGATGTATGTATACTCCGACCGGACTGTGTAGGGGTCAGGGAATTAGTCTTGCATTATTGCATCAGAAAGGTTCTGGGTTCGAGTCACGGACAAGGCAAGGATGCTCTCTCATTCTTTGTACTATCAATCCTAATTGTGGGAGTAATTTGACCCACCCTAATATGGTGCTCCTGAAAGAGTTTCCAGCAAATTTGCCCTAACATGCTTGAATTAATGAATGTATCGCTTCTCCTATATATATATGTGGGGACGGCATGAGTGGTCTTCTTTGAAAATAAGAGGCACTGTACTTTAACAAAACATATATTAAACGCTAAATTTACATAAAGATGGACGATAAACAAACACAGGAACAACACAAAATAAATGAGTTCGTCATCGTGAAGTTAAAAGAAAATCATGATCGCTCATCCTCTTTTGGAATTCATCAGCGTCTCCTTTTTTGTTAGTTCCATTACGCGCTCCCGTGTCTCTCGTGTCTTTGGGAAATTCGCACGGGGTCTAACTTGCAGCTTACATAATCTGTCATAATCTGGTTAGATCTCTAGCNAGCTGCACAATGGGCTATTGGCGACGGTCTGGGAAACATCCCTGAGGATGATCCGAAGACATGGCATCACAATTTTGATCCTCTGCAGAGGGGATGGCACCCTCGTTCGGTAGCCCGACGATCTGCACGCGAAATCGAGCACTTTAAGGTAGAACAGTTTAACGAGGACCAATACCGCACAGCCTCGGTCTCTACGCAGACTGATCCAAGTGGTCACCCACCCGCACACTGACCACAGTCAGTAGTGATGGTTGACTTCGGTGATCTGCTGGGAACCGTTTAATGATCACTCCACTGTGGGACTGTGTTCAGTGAAAATGTTTCTCTTATATAGCAGTTACTTTTAACTGTGTGAAGTCTGCGCAACTGCGCACACTCTCAGCGAGCAATCTATTAAAAACAGAATAGCTCTTAGGAATTGTGACGAATCAGAGTCAGGGTTGGGGCAGTCTCTAGAAACGTGTCTGTTGAGACTCAAATGTGCTCCAAGACGACAACAATTGCGGTGTTTATTTTGTGATTTAATTTTGACGTTAAAGAAGGCAATTTTTATCTTATTTTAACAATGAGAACCTAAATTTAAAAATGACATCCATTCATTTTGTTGTTCACCCTTTACCTGGCAGCGAAGATCAGCTGAATGAAAGGTATAGAAACTTATTCTTTTAAGCATACACGCATATGGTCTTAATTGTGCTTTTATGTAGTTTTTAATAAATTTCTGAGTTTATAATACGTTTTCGAGAAATATTGGTTATATCTGTTAGCAAGATTTCAATTTGAAGTGGTTTTGATACCTTTCAAACTATACTGAAATTGCCTTTCAGTCTTCCTCACTGTGGTTTTTTTTTAAAATCAACTGTCTCACCTCACACCGTTACGCTATCCCTGTAGTATTCCTTTCAGTTGATATATATGTAAAACAGACTTACTAATTAATCAGGCGATATAGTTAATGGTAACGGAAAACTCTACAACTGCATAAATTGTCTCAGAGAATTTCTAGGACTACTGATATATTAGCCTTTTAGGAATATAAAATGTATCTATCGACAATTTTTCGATTATTCTGTCTAGAGTCGGTCATTGTAATGGTATAATATTTCCAATTATAAAAGTTCATTAAATAATATCGGTTTAAGTGGAGTTTTCAGAAGAATTCTTAATATAAAAATGCTTCACAAAATATCGAAGAAGGTATAATTTAAAATCAGCAAGCAAAATCCAATAGAAATCAAAGAACACAAATGGCAATGAATTGGGGTAGATTTCCGTGTCCTGTTCTGTGGCAGAATAATCACCAAGTTTTGGGCAACTTCAGGGCAGCGGCCTGCAATAAACTAAACAAAAACAACAACACATAAAGGGACCAACTTGAAGAGTATAACTAGCAGACACCCCCGGACAAACATCTACATGCTTCTTTTATTTTAAAATTTCCCCCGTTAAAATCGATTTGGCGGGGCAGATCACGCTACAGAAATTTCCCCAGGGATTAGATATACTATCAGGAAGCTGAAAAAATTCAAAGTTAAACAGGTGCTGGACTGCGCATCTCAAGGTAAACGAAAGAGGAGCAGACCTAAAATGAAGGTGTGGAGATATTATGATAGAATTAAAGACAAAAACAAAACCTGGAGAGAAATAGAATGCTTGGCCACCAACAGAGAGAGATGGAGAATCAAGAAAAAGGCCCTGAGCATTCTACGAAGTGAAGATGTGTAAGAAGAAGAGTTTTTAATGTGCAAGAAAAAAAAAAAAAAATGCATTAACAAAGAAAAAAATCATATATTTTTCAGATTCTGACAATTTGATTTTGAAATAATTAGCAAAATATGACAAAATGTTTACTTACATGATTATTTAATAAATGCAGTCTTGTTGTAAATTGTGGTTTGAGCGATAAAATTGTAAGGTTTGTGATATCTTGGAGGGTTGGGTTTTGACACGACATGGTAAAAACTAGGTTTTACTATGTGAGCAGTAATCAAAAAACTGAGTTTTACCCTGAATATCATGGAAAAATTGTCGTAAATACAATTTACCCATGTTTATTTACTCACAGATATAATGGTTTATTATTTATAACTGATTGAAATATATATTTCTATATTATAGCAGATATTAACAATTATAATATGCATGTAGATATATATGCATATCAGCAAGTAGCAAACCATTGAACAAGTGATATATGATGTAAGCTATCACCCAAATTGTAATTGTAAAACTGTTTATTCATATAACCAGGTGAGGCAAATTTTCTCAATATTAAAAATTTAAAAAACTACTAGATTTTAAATATGAGCCAATAACCATTAATTAGAAATTAAAATTATATTTACAAATTACATAGTTGTATTATATCATTGTAAATATAATGAATAATACAGAAAATAACTGAAAAAGCAGAAAGCTCAAATTAGCAGAATTATGGAATTTTATAAAAATAATGAAATAATTTTAATAATATTTTTTCTTTCTTTCTTATTTTTCAAAAGAATAATAGATTATTAAAAGTAAACAGTAGTGATTAGGGTACATTAAAATAAGGATTTATTGTACAAATCTTTTGTCATTTATTTTTATAAAACTAGATTAGGAAAAAAAAAATATTTACATTTAAATATTTTTTAAATAGATGTCTTTTTTATCATCTTGTGATGCAGAAATTATAAAATTTTTTAAAAAAAGTATTGTAAAAAATAAAGTTAATTTTTAAACAAATTTATTATTTTTTAAAGAAAATTATTATTATTTTTAATATTGCATTATTTATCCTTATGCAAAAACAAAATTTATCAGCATTAAAAGTATATTTATATTTAAAGGATAAGGTATTCACTTTTGTTGTTCAGTGAATTGTGGAGCTTCAAAAATTATAAACCTTTTCCTATTATATGATATTATTTTCATTTAATATAAAGTAAATTGTATAAAAAATATCTAATACTTATTGATATATGTAATTATTATGTGTACAATGGTTGCACAAAGAATTTTTACCTTTCACCAAAGTTCAAGGTTTTGGACACTTTAAGACAGTTTAGGGCAGTTTTAGTCAGTTTAGGACAGTTTAAGACAGTAAAACTCACGTGTCCTGTCCAAAACCCCAACCCTGCTCTAAACTACTTTAAAAAGATGTGATTAATTTTAATAAAACATGAGTATTTAAAAATACATATATATTCTTGTATAACTAGCAAATCTGAAAAGAATTTAGTTATTGAATTCATGTAAAATTATTGCAATTGGATAAGCTATGTGATAATGGCCAAAGAAACTATTGCAAGATTTGCAAGTTGCAAATATGTTTATGAAGGAAAAATTGCGAATCAAGCGTGCTAGAATTTATTACCCTTAATTTGAAAATCAAATATATTAAAATTTGAAATTAAAAAGTAATGGTCGAACAAACAATCAGAAAATATTTTGAATTTATGATGGAATAATCATAATTTATTTTATCATGATTGAATTTACATGGAATAATCATGATTTGAGAGAATATAAGTTTCTTTGCTTGCATATCTAAATATTTTCTGAATATTTAAAATTTCAGGAAGATATTTTACTTCAACTAATTCCACTATTTCAGTTTAGTTTTTATTAAGCTCATTAGCTTAGTACCGTGTTTCCCAAACTTATGACTTTTGTGTACCCTTTCTAAATTTTTTGTAAAAATGAATGTATTTTTTACTATAAAAAATTGCACTAAAGTTAAAAATCACAACTGGCTGTTGGCAAAACTAATTATTAACTGTTAACTCTGCAAAAAGTAGCCAATAGAAAAATACGTAATCGTAAATTTTCATGGCTAGCTTTGTTTCTAAATAAAAATGTTTGAAATTTTCATTAGTTGCAAGATATTACGCATAAGAACGCGTACCCCCGCGGAACTGTTCCCTTACCCATGGGGGTACGCGTACCACACTTTGGGAGACGCTGCTTTAGTAAGAAAGTCTAAGTTTTTACCAAATATTATGAAATAATGGGGATAAGCTATATTTTGATCGTGTATATAATTACATAATTTTAGTTTTTCGAAACCTAATTTCTAATTTGTTAAATCATTTTTTCCACTTTAATAGAAATAATAAGTTGCTTTTCTTACTTATTACAACTTATTTTTTTAAAACTTTTATCGAAAATATTTGTGATTTCATACAGTTCCTTTCAAGTTACCATATTAGTAAGCTACATTTACCCCTTGATTATGTTTCCACCTTTAATATGCATTATTAAATAATTCATATTAAAATGGAAACATTAATATGCATAGATCCTTAATATGCATACAGGCATTATAAAAAGAAAAATAATAGAAAAATTCAGTTTTCGGAAAAGTAAAAAAAAATCTTTATAATTTAATACTTGATTTTGATCAATTCCTCTCGCAAAAAAACATGCTTTAAACGTAGTTTTTGCTGTGAACCATCTTAATAAATTCAACCAAAGCATTCAATGAGAATGTGACAAAACAGCATTAGTTTTGATTTTAAATCTTGTAATTCTTTTAATTTTTAAGCTAATTGCAGTGTTAATGTTGTCATACATTATGGTATCACTACACTATGTTTACTGATTTTATCATTTCTAGGTTAAAGGAAGTTGCAGAACGCTCAAATAGATGTGGTTATAATGTTCCTAGTGTTCTTGCTCAGCTTAAAAGTGCTGCTGTTATACAATGTGTGGTGGGACCGACTCATGTAGCATTTCTGTTGGAAGTATGGCTTATTGTTTTTAATAAAATAGGTGTTACATGATTTTCCCACTATCCATATTTTTACTCTCTTCTTTACCATGGTTATGGCAAATTTTGCTTATTTTCAAACCTAGTAGTGTTCCCACGGGTCAAGGAGAACAGGGAAAACCTGATATTGTCAGGGAATTTTATTTTAACTCTTAAAAAGCAGGGAATAGTCTGGAAAAGTTAAAATTTTTTACAAAAAACCTGGAAAATTCTTTTATCATACCTTGAAAATAATTAGGAATTGCATATCTGCCAAATCTCCTGTACTTTAACAAAGACTCCTGTGTTTTGTGCCTATCTCCTGGTAACCTCTATATTCTCAAATCTCTCCGTATTTGTTGAAGAAATAAATAAATCATCATAAAACATCAGCTAATGGCAAAAATACTTCTCTTATTCCTCAACAGATGGTGCTATTACCAGTACTGCAGTATGTTGTGTATATATAATTCAAGTAATTATAAATAATGCTTTAAAAAAAATCTTATTCACATTACGATTTATAAATGTATTTTTTAGTTCCCTAAATGTAAGTGCTTATATTATTTCCAATTTTGAATTTCTCTTTTTGACTTATATGGATTATGCATGATGTATCAAAACTTTACTTGTAGCCTGAAAAATGTCGCTAGTAAAATCTCCGTTATTTTATTTCTCCAATGTTGGCAGATATGGAATTGTCAGTAACAGTAATCAGTTATTGAGATATGAGTTAAATAATTCTAACGTCTATTGCAATTATTTTACAAAATCCCACTTTTTAGTGAATTATATGTTTCTATTATATGTTTATTCTTGTTCTATCATATGCTTTTGCTCTCTTCATTATTTGACATTACAGATAAGAAAAGTTTTCTGATCAATAATTGCATGGTATTGATTTAATATGGCATGGATTTTTGTTTCAATTCATTTGATATATCTGGAAAAGTCAGGGAATTTTTTGATGAAACTGAATGATTTCCCATTCAGGAAGCAAGGTTGAAGCAAGGTTTGCTTACATTAAATATACAGTGCACAAAAAAAAACACATTAACCATAACTTTTGATTGGATCTTTATGTTCTATGACTCAATCGTAATGGTTCCTTGGGGGTAACCTCAGATACGTTAATTAAATAGAGCAGACTATATTTTAAGTAGGGATGTAATGGATAATAATTAATAGATTTATATGTGACAAATTGAGCCAAAAAAAAAAAAAAAAATCGTCTGAATGCCAAATAATCGGCAGCCGAAAAACAAAATTTTTGTTTTAAAGAATTGTAAATAAATATTATTAATGATTTGAGGCATAAATAGGTATAAATAGTTTTATATATAAATAAGTTTAGTTATTATTGAAAAGGAAATCAAAACTTAGTTATGTTATTTGGTATGAGGTAAAAAAAAAAAAGTTGGAATAAAAATATTATAGATAACAAAGAAAATTAGACATAAGCTAAACATTTAAGAAAAATAAAAAACTGAGTGACCGTTATTAAAAAAACTAAAATGGTAAAGTTGAAAAAAAAGGAAATAGAAAAAAAATATCCACTTAGTTCTTAAAACGAAATTTCAATGCTAAAAGTGTGTTTTTGTGTCAGATTTTGTAACTTAAAATATCCTCTGCACAACTTAGTTAGCATTTGTGAGATCACACCCTTCAAAGATTAAACCATTAAAATTGAGTCTTAGAATGTCAAGATTAGATCTTTAGATCAAAAGTTATTCCGAGTGTCCTGTTTATTTATTTATTTATTTATTTTTTTGCACTGTGCATGGCATGAGAAAAGAAAAGTGTGGAGAGAGGGGATATCGTAACTTAGAGACATATGAGTTTAATTATGAAAGACACTTCATTATTCAAATCTTATATTTTTTTATAAAAAATATTTTAGGATGGCAGAATATGCCGCCTTGCATTCTCTGTTGTGTCAGATCGCCTTGACTTGAGCAAGAATGATGCCTCCAAAGCGTAAGTTTAAAAAATATAAGCTTCTCAAATATTTTATTAATAAATTTTTATATCTATTCTCGCAAAAAATTTCCTTTTCATTGCACTTAATAATTTTAAGGTGCACAATAATTAATATCAGGCATCTTTTTAGATAATTACTATATATATATCAGGGTCTGAGTCAACTTTTTAAAACCCCTAAATCAGGGGTGCACAACCTATGGCCCACAATCAAAAAATTTTAACACTTTTAATCCACATATATGAGTCATCGACAAGCTTAATTTACATAGATTTTATTGTATATTGCTTCTCAATCGCTTTTTACAATGTAATTGCTGTGGAATTTTGAATGGTTTTTTAAAAAACCTAATACTTTTCATACAGTTTTAAACCTGCAACCTATGGCCCGCAAAACTTCCAAACACAATAAAAAAATTGCTGAAAGTTTTGAGCCACAGATATGAGTCATCAATGAGCTCAATTTACATAGATTCTATTGTAAAATGTTTCTCAATCTCTTTTTCCAACGTAATTGCTGCAGAATTTTGAATGCTTTTTAAAAAAAACAATACTTTTCATACAGTATTAAGATACAAGAATTTCAAATTTCAATAATCACTTTTTGTTTTGCTCTATTCTTGCCCATTTCATCTTAAATCTAAGGGATTTTTTTTTTTGCCATACAAATTTCTATGTGGTTTTAATTTCGATGCATTTAACACGATTTTGCAAGTTGTGAGTTTTGAATTGTGCATTTAATATTTTATCTATTTTAATTGTGCACTTTTTGACTCTTTATGCCCATTTTATTGAAAAGCATAATGATTTTTTTTTTTAACAAAACGTTTTTTTCTTAAGGCATTTTATGCTACTCTTTTTCACATGGTTTGAAAAGTTCTGAATTTTAAAATGACATGCTAATTTTAAATAAAACATTTGAATAATTAATTATTGACACGCTTTATTTGTGCTGATTTTGTCGTAATTTTGTTTCGCAACCACTGAAATGTATCTCCACATGATTTTGACGATCTTGTTTTTTTCTCCAACTACGCTGTTATTATAACATGCGAGTTTTTAATTGGCAATTAAATAATCACTTTTGGATACAATTTTGTGTCTTATTTGATCGTTAACCTAAATTATTCCTCCTTTTTTTTCGGCAGTTAGAGCCGATATTTTAATACAACGTAATGTTAAATCCCAATATTTTAATACGACGTAATTGCAACATGAATTCGAGAAGTGTGTGAAAGTTGGTCACTGTTTGTAATTAAAAAAAAAATTTTTTTTCAACTTAGCTGATATTTTTTGGAAAAAACTAAAAAGTGAGCGTTTTGTTCTTTAAATTCATGAAACCTCTTACAATTAAAAATAAAAAAATCTGAAGTATAATATCAAATATATATTGAATTTTATTTTGTACTACACTACAGAACCCGTGATCCGGAAATCAGAAAACCGGAAAACCAAAAAATCTGAACGAAATTCGTAAATTTTCCCGCCATTTTAAAAAAAAAACTTTTTTTTCCTCATAAGATTTTAGAATTTTTTTTTCTTTTTGGAAAGATGTTTACCTTACTATCATTTTGGAAATAATCATTAGTGTATTACTTTGTTTTTTCTTTTTAAGATTATTTCCAAATATTATTTTTTTTAGTTGGGTTTAACAATAAAAACGGCTTTTTGTAGCGATTCAGAAAACCGGAAAAATCTGTTATCCGGAATAGCGATGGTCCCGATCATTCCGGATAATCGGTTCCCTACTATATAATGGTTTTATTTTAAACTTTGGTTTTTGTTTAAATCCTATCATTTTTTTTCCATTAAAATTTTTAATTTCAATTTATATTACTCATTAAAATATGGATTTATTTTTTATACTTATGTGATCATTTTGTGATTTTTTTTAAAACCTTTGAATTTATTTTAAAATAATTTTTTGTACTAAGTGTTATGACAGAAGAACTCCAAAAAAACACAATCTTTTATCCAGTTTTTATATATTTTTTAACTATATTAGTTTTTGATAAAAAGGGAAATGTTTTTTGAAAAAAAAGTATGAGTTTTTTCATTTCTGAATGAATTTTAATAATTAACAATAAAAACAATAAATTATTTTTAAAAAATTAAAAGTATTTAATTTTTGTGTGACCCATTGTTGTTCAACCTGCTGTGCACTCAAATAGGTTGTGCACTCTTACCCTAAAAGTTCATTATTATAAACATGTGTATTCCATATCTTTTATAATGTAAAAATGTTTGATTTATTTTTCATAGTTTAAATTTGAAAGGATCTAGTAGCTCTAGTTCAACCACTCGTACTGCTGTCCCTCGAAATAGAGGTCGTATTTTACGCACTACAGCTGGAAGAGGAAGTAGAGGCGGTAGTGTTATCATGGGTTCATCCAGATCTGTGGTTCCTGCACCATATGTCCCAGAAGAACTTATTTCACAAGTAACTATTTATGATTCTATTATAACTAGGGAAAAAACATTATTTAATAATTTTTTAATTGAAATGCACATCCATCTTTGAATAGTGAGCCAAAAAAGCAAGATAATGCTAACATGAACAGAAAGCTGTAGTAAAAATACTCGTTATATTTTATTTGATTTGATATGGATGCTTTACACGTGTATAATTAAGATTTTTTTTCACTTGGAGGCTGATATTAAAAATAGAATGAAATTTTTTTTTAATCTTTTGGTACCTAAATAAAAATATATTTTTATTCTAATTATTCTTGTAATTAATATTCTTCATTCTTGTAATTAATTTTCTTAAATTTATATTTTGGATAATGTGTTTCTAAAGTTTTACTGCTCAAAGGACATTTTAAAAAAATTCTAATAGGGTCACTCAGCCAGTTTTAGTGGTAAAAATTATTTAACAGGCTTGCCACTACACAGGAAAAACCCGGAAAATACAGGTAATTCAAAAATCGCCTAAAACAACAGGGAAAATGCAGGGAATTTTGATTTTTTTTACAAGCGGGGAAAATACAGGGAATTTTGTATCTTATTTTTGTTTTTTAAATAATGCTGACCACTCAAAGTGTAATCTGTGGGATATTTAACCATAACTCAACTATACTAAACTATTTTATTTACTATAGCATTATTTAAGTATGTTCAGCTGTTTTTCCAGCAATTAAAACTGATAAACATAGTTTGCCCAATATAGCTCACACAAGAACGCAGTAATTGTTGTTTTTTCTTAATATATTTTGTATAATATGTACAGGGAAAACACTGAGATTTTTTTTCCACATTTGAGTGGCAACCCTGCTTAAATAAGTTTGAAAGTGAGAATTTATATCTTTATTATTTTATTTACTAGACTTATTTATTTGATTTATGGACAAAAAGTCTTGGGATTTTCAAATTTCTTATATTTGTTGGTCTGCATTTTCCCCAAGGCTGATCTTTTAGAGCAGGGTTTCTTAACCTGTGGTTCATGAACCCCTAAGGGGTCCATGAGTCATATTTTGGGGGTCCGCTAACTACTCCTAATTTTTAAAACGTTTGGAAGCCTACCCATTGCTTGTAAAGCGATCTATGGCAGCTATAATTCCGTTTGCTACAGTGTATCTTTGCGAAGCGGGATTTTCCACGCTCGTGACAATAAAAACAAAACATCGAAATCGATTGAATGTTGAACATGATATGCGCGTTGCTTTGTCGAAAACTATCCCCCAATTCAATTTCTTAATTAAGGAAAAGCAGCAGCAACCTTCACATTAAAAATTTTAATTATAAAAATTTTGTATACTATTAAAATAATAAAATTACATTTTTTCTAATAACGGATGGTTTTTGCAATTATTTTTTTCACAGGGGGGTGGTCCGTGACTTCTTACAAAATTTTAAAAGGGGTCCATTATACCAAAAAGGTTAAGAAACACTGTTTTAGAGAGAGAGTTAATGTGTTAATTAAATTTTACATAATTTTATTTATAAAGTTACTCCACATTTTCTATGGCTACTAATGTGTTATTCCTTTTTAGGCACAGGTTGTTCTTCAAGGCAAATCACGCAATCTTATTCTCAGAGAACTTCAAAGGACGGTAAAATATTTTTTATTATTTTCTTTCAAAAAATACTTTTTTAATATTGCTATCTCTTACCAAATTTTCAGATGTTATCTAATTATATTTATATCTGCCAATGTTTTTCCTGCTTCTATAAATTTTCAAAAGTAATTATATTTCCACAGTTTGAAACTTAACTAAATTTCGCAAAGTTACTCCAAGTTTAGTCAAAACTCTTTTATTTTAAAGGTAAAAAATTCCTAAAATCAAATTAAAAGTGTCTATTGTTACCTTAATTAAGTCATCTTTGATTGGTCCATGCACTTGCATTATCTATTTCAATTTATAAAACCCAGAGTGATATAGAATGGTCCCAAGTATAATTTCATCTCAGTCAGAGTAAATAAAATGTATTGAGAGTTTATTTGAAATGCTTTACTTTTTACTTCCACATTCAATTACAAAATAACGGCTGATAACATGACATAGTTTCTGTGTGAAATTGCTGGTCAACTACCATTCAACTGATTGTGTGCTTGAGAATTTAAAAAGTAATAAAACAGGGTTTCCAAGGATTTGTGCATTTCTGCGAGTATTGACAAGTCGACGGGATAATCACAAAGTACCCTCTATTTTTAGAGCAAGTGATTTATTTCATATTAGTCAAAATTTTTGTTTGAAATAATCAAGAGTAGTTTTTTTTGTATTAAAATAAAATTACAGACTGGGAAAAAGAATAAATATTTTTTGATTTAATATTTCAGTTCCTAATTTTTATTAATTCTTAACTGCATACCGTCTTCTACATTTATTAATTTCTTCTGCAATTTTAAAAATGGGGTGACAGGTATGAAAATTTTAATATCCATTTATTATAATTTATATTAATATATCATAGTTTTTTTTTTAATTGTTCTTTTTACATTGAATACTATTGAAGTAAAAGATTTGAAATTTACTGTGCAGTTAATTTGCTGTAGGAATTTCATAATATTTTTTAAATATACTGGTATATTTTTCTTCTGTAGAATTTAGATGTAAATTTAGCCGTAAACAATTTGTTGAGCCGAGACGATGAAGAAGGAGAAGATGCAGACGACAATCAAGATTCTTACATGCCCGGAGGTACCCTTTTAAAATGTTTGATTTTACAGATCATGCTGTAAAGCCTTTTTAACAAGAGTGTATATTAAAATGTTATCTTTCTTTTTATATAACTCTAGATTCATAAACATTTGTCTCATGTGTGGTTAAAAAAAGGTAGACACTTATAACTTTTAAAGTGAAATCATGAGCATAAGTATTTTCCTAGATTGTTAGTCAAATATTGAATAGTTCATCTATGCATGTCTATGAATCTAGGTTTAAATTATATATATTTTTATTTTACTTAATCTAAAAAGCCTAAAATATAAATTACAGAATGGCGCAAATTAATTACTGAAAAATTTAAATCATGGTTATTTCCGATCAAATTCTACCTTCATTAATTGTGAAACCAGTTAGATATCAAATAAAAAAATTTATTAGTTTTAAATTAAAAAATATGCAAAAACCAATTGATCTTCACAGAATGTTTTCTTTATTATTTAATTACATTAGCTACACTTGTATTTAAATAAACATAGGACTTATTGGATATGCTTGAAAATTTTTTTTGTAACTTTGATGAAACAAATTATACATCAGGGTTCCCACGGTACTTGAAAAACCTTGAAAGTCCTTGAATTTTGTTGAAAAAAATCAGGGCCCTGAAAAGTCCTTGAATTCTGCCATAGGGTACTTGAAAAGTACTTGATTTTTTAGGAATTAAAATGATGCTAATCTTTCTTACAAAAATGCAGTAAAAAAGTAATAAATAAATTCAAAGAAAAATTATACAAATTCTGTAAATGCAATTTTTTATGTTTAAAGTGAAAAGGGTTTAAAGAAGATGCAAAACTTTTCTCTCCTAGATTTTTCACACCAGATTATTGTCCATCTCTCTGATGTTTTGAAAACTGAAATTTCTAGCAAATTTTAGGTTTTGTAGTCATAGTTTTCGAATAATATATATAGTGTTTAATTGATTTAGAAATATGTTCAATGTGTTAGCTTCATTATTACGACAGGTTAATATTGTTATCCTATTTGTTCTTTTAATTTATGCATGAAGGATAATTAATTTTTTATCATTTATAATCAAAACGTTTACATTTAGTTAGTCAAGTTTTAGTTAGTTATCTGTATAATATTGTTCTACAATAGATTTTATTATGTTCAAAATACATTACTGACATTCTGAAGCAACAAAATAGATAATTTGTTATTAAAATTGAAACAAATGTGTTAAATGGATATATTTTGATATTTTATGTAATTATATACATTTCCTGTAACCTAAAATTTGATCNTCGTTCCGGACAATCGGTTTTCTCAAATTTCTTAGGCTTTGAAGAGAGTCAGATGTCCTCCTTCCTTCCTAATTAACACCTTTAATTACCTTACAACATTTGATGTTTTTCTGCAATATTTTTCAGGTGCAGAAATCTGATGCCCTTAGGCAAAAAAGTTTAGGAGCCCATTGTATAGATATTTAAATTTTTCAGTGAAGTTTAATTTTTAGTAAAGAAAATTTTTCAGTAAAGAAAGCAGTTATTTTTTTAACCCTTAATGGACCAACATCATTATATAAGCAGCATATAACATTGTACTATATCTTTCACTTATTTGATCAAAATGTTAAGTAGTGGGGGTTGCAAATCATTTTATTATTATCATTCTTGTAATTAGCACAATTACAAATAATTTAACTGCAAATAGTTTAATTATAAATTTATATTTAATATTAGCATGAATTACTGAAATATTTCCAGACTGTTGAGGGATAAAGAAAAAATGTACTTAGTTAACAGCTGCTTAATGTTTATACAAATATAAACATGGTTTTCTTGATTATATAAACGTATCATTTAACAAACTTTTTCTTTAAGTTTGTTCTTCAAGTATATCTTTTTCTTTTAAAAAAGTTCCTTGACTCTAATTGATTTTTAAACTCATATGCTAGTTTGCTTAGGGTTTTTTGAACCACATGGAGCATTTTTTATTCCATAATTTTAATATTTTAAAATACTTGATTGTATTGAAAGATTTAGAGGTCTTTTTTTATAGATCTTTAAAATTTTCCATGAATTAATTAAAGAGTTTTTTTTTTTAAAAAAAAGATGAAGCAATGTACTTAGTTAACCTAGTGTTTTTATCAATCGAAACACGTTTTTCTTTAGTAGCAAAAATATCGCTTAACATACTCTTTCTTTAAGTTCTTCAAGTATATCATAATTTTTTAATATATGAGCCCTGTTGAATGTTTTTCACTCCATAATTTGAAAATTTTGAAGGCACAACTATAATTATTGTTTTTTGACTTGAAGTCACTGTTTTCTTCTCAGGAAAACTATACTCTCTTTGTCAGGTATTTTACTTCACCAATATTCGATATAAATTTATTAAACAATAATTTCACTCTATATAAATTTGTTTTTAAACAAAACTATGATTTAAATAAACTCTTGTTTTTTATATTAACTTAGTATTTTTGACTTGAAGTCCGTTAAATAAATCTGTATTTTCTTCTCAGAAAAGCAATACACTCTTTGTAAAGTATTTTATTTCACAAATACTCAATATAAATTTTATTTTGATACTATACTGTGAGATTAAACTTTTAATGAAGATCCAAAATAATGGAGGGTTTTCAAAATCTTTTAATTGCGGTGCATTTGTAAATTAAGTTTGCATTAAAGTTAATATGTTACATAGGCATCTATTTCATGCTAAGTTTTCTGTCATTTTAAAATATTTTGTTTTATCACATAGGGGACGCAAATTCGCAGCTAACCCTTCTTCAAGAAGAAGTTGGAAGGAAAAGTGAAGATAACATTCGACAACAAGAAGAAATCACCCAGTTGCTCTCCCAAATTGTTGATCTGCAAAGAAAGTTGCGTGATGTGAGTAAAGCTTTATTGTTTAATTTTTCTTCATTGCTGCTGTTACTATTTAAAAATTTATAATTAACTAGCTGTTAAAAAGCTATAAATTTGCTGTATTTTTCAAGTTAATAAATTGACTAATTGCCTAAAAGTGATGTGCAAGTAACATTATGTAAGTCATGAATATACTAGGACCAACTCATAACAATTACCAATTTAAATAGGTTGTAGATTTAAAAAGAAAAATGCAATGTTAAGATTTCAGATTTGTTTATTATGAGTGTAGGGACCATATAATAATTTGAAAAATAGAAAGAGCCACTCAATTTTTGATATTTGTAAAATTTTGTATAAATTTTTTTTATTATAATCAGAAAAAGAGTTCATTATCAAAAGCTAGTTCTTTATCAAAAGCTGGAATTTTATCATTAACGTATAAAGTCTATGAAAATTATTTTGTATTTTGTTAATGTATGTATGAAGAACTTTCACCAATGGGAAGAAAAATGTTTTATTGGTGTGCATATCCTAATTATGATATTAATGTGCATATCCTAATTATAAAGTGCATAAACATATTTTTTGAATGCTTAAAAAACTCCTAAAAGGTGCTTATTTTTTGTTGAAAATTTTGGCTATGATCCATGTTTAAAACAAAGATTTGGCAAAGTATAGTCAATTACAGATTTTTTCCCCGTATAGTATATAAAATCTATAACTTTTAGTTTTCTAAAGTAATGAATTCTTTTCTTTCATTCACTTTAAATTAAAATACTTAATTTGATATTTTTTTATTTATTTCTTAGATATCTGCTGACAACGAATGCTTATCGAGTAAGCTGGAGATTGCAGAGGAATGTCAACATGAATTGTCAGAAGAGCTTATAGACATGAAAGAGAAGTATGGTGAGCTTATGGCAGCATTTCAAGAATTGCAAGCAGAGGCTAAGCAAGCTCAAAGAAATCGGTTGCCAAGTGCGAACACTTGGCAGAACTATGGAATGTACAGTTCTTACATCAATCCAGATTCACTTGCAAGTGAATTAGAGCAGTCATTAGGTAGAGACAGCGATGGCTATTCCTCAGATGAAAGGCCGTAAGTTATTGTTACTTTAACAATAATGTAACTTGCATTATTCAAAGCTCTGTGCTCTACTGGATTTTCTAGTAGACTACTGGATTTTGCCAGTTTCTCAGTTCAGTTCCAGAATGAAAATTCTCTTGGTTTTTCGTACATTTTAGAAAATTCCCTAAAATTGAGTAAGTTTCCTACAAAAATTCCTATGGAAATAGAATTTTTACATTGAATATTTAATTAAGTTATACTGATACATAATGAAGCAAAGTTTATTGAAATCAGTTTAAAACTTTTTTTGTTCTAAAATATCCAGTCTACTTTTATTCAGAACTCCTTACCTCAATAATTTAATTTCAGTTTTGTCGTTAAGGCAATTAATTTCTCAGAACAAAAACTTTAAATCTGTTGATTTTGCTGCAAATTATCAATTAAATCTATTCAGGGTTAATATATCTGTGGCGGGAACTCATGACTCTATTAACTATTATATATCACTAACCAAGATTCCTTCAGAACTTTTTCTCTTACGAATTTGAGTATCATGACTCTCAGGTGTGTTATTGAAAATTTCTCTTATTTATTTGCAACCCCAGATTTCCTCTTCTTTTATTTTTGCATCAGACTTAGTTTCTAAGACCATTTTATTTTGTAAGCTTATGCCCGTATTGTTATTTACAAGCTTATTTACCCGTATTGTTATTAGTCTCTTGGTGTTAGGAATTACTCTTCTGCCATCAAAATATACATTCAGTCCAATTCCACTGCTGCTGTCCTAGTAGTATTTCAGGCATAAATACTGTTATTACATTTCTAAACTTTAAAAAAAGAAAGAGATAATTTACCAGCACACACAAATTTTAATAAACGAAAAATTTTAAAAAAAAACTTTTTTTTTATCACAGCAATTGAAACTACTCTATTCAAAATTGTAATTTATTAGATTTAGATAGTTTTGTTTTTAAGAATTATTAATTAAATTGTAATTTTAAATAAATAAAAAATCAAGATTTATTTTAATACTAAATACCATGCAGATCATCCAGCAAAGATTCTTATTAATATATCAAAGCTAAGTATTAACAAAGTAACTTGTTATTCCAAAAGAGATCAGGTTTTAAACTTGCTAAAAATATTGTTAAAAATGTTGCACTGGCAGTTTCATATCAATATTATGGTTGCATCCTGATATTTCAAAATGTTTTAACAATATGTGCAGTTTGTCCCGTAAAGATGCTTTAACATAACGAAAATTGAGAAATTTCAAAATAACAAAGTTTCTACTACAATTACACACTTGTACAACTGTGTTATTTTTTAAGGATTATATATCTCCACTTCAAATCAGTTTTACAATTTGATCAGAAATAGGAATAGCAGTTAACATCTTTTCAAGTCTGTTTAGAGTTAACACAGCTCAACATCCTGGTTAACAAATGTGAAGAGTATATTAAGCAGTTTATTGAACTCTCACAAGTTCCAGTGTTTGAGAATAAAGTATAGCTGTAGAAAAATAACATAAATTTATTCTTAGTCTTTATATGAGATGATTTTAGATAAAAAGAAGTCTTGTTTTGTAATCAGTCACTTGATTTCTATAATGTTGATTTTCTGTAATTGACTTAAATGTGACAAAAATTGTTTTCTCTGATTGTTAATGAATGTAATATTTCATTTCATAACCGTCGTTGAACATCCGACCCAATTTTATTGGATTTATGACTATTAATGTTCAACTCTTTAGCCTTGTAACTTTGAACCTATTCCAGAAGACAAGGAAACTCCTGGACAAGTTTTGTGAGAAATTGGCTTGATGGTATTAACCGTCATTTGCATTACATGATGAGGGAAACTACCCATGGTTAGTCTCACGACAAGCGGGCTCTAACCCATGCTTAATCTACCATTGAGGATATTTTACGTTAGCACTGTGGTCACTACAAGCCGAATGCGAGATTCAAATCGGCTAGCGATCGCTAGGATTCGAACTCGGTTCGCCTATACCCTGAGTCATCACGGCTCTAATGAATTATTAGCAATTTATGAAAACAAAAAAAAGCTTTAATTTTTTAAAATAACCTAAGTCAAAGTCTGTATCAGTTAATGTCTATAATGCTCAGCACATCTATATTTAATATTTTTTTTATATTCTTAAATAAAATGTTATTTTAGCAAGTGACTTTATATCAATGCACTTTTTTTTCCATGCAGGTGTCACAGTCGTAAAGTGTTCAATACAGTTAGATATGCCAATCACGGTTTTCCTCCAAGACATCGTCATAATTCTTCATCCCGTTCCCATTATACTATGAGCGGTGGTCATAAATCTCATAACATGACCTCTACTTGCTTCTCATCCCTTAGCCAATTATCATCCTTGTCATCAGGTTTTAATGACCTCGCATCAGACTCTGAATCTGCCTATGCGGAAAGCTACAGCACTGATGATGAAAACACAGACACGTAAGTTATCTTCTTAATAGGCTATAGTTCCTAACTAAGCTATCAATAATGAAGAGCACAAATAATTGATAAATTCTGAGAATAATTTTCTTCCCTGTTGTTTCTTAAGATTTTTTTCTTTTGTTTCATCAACAATAATAGTCTTATTTTAGAAAAATCAACTAAGAAGAGATATTAGTCTAGTATTTTATCTAACTTTTTCAAAGTTGAGTATGTAAGCTTACAGTTGTTCAGAAAATTGGATAGATTGTAACTAAGATAATTATGTACAATATCCATTTATATTCGAAGCAGCTCTGTTGAATTGCAGTTTACTCTGTTGAATTCTGTTTTTTTTTATTTTATTTTTTTGCAATTGATGTTTTTAAGAGCATTTTGTTTAAGTCATTTCATGTGCATAATTTTAATTGTCAACATTGACTTGAAAATATTAACTTTCGTGACTTCTAGCGTTTTACTAAATATCTTGTTTGCAAATTTAATTTTAGAAAATACTTCACCAACTGCTGCTTTTAATTTTATTTATTTTTTAAAATTTTAATTGGAATTTATGAAGATATTGTCATTTAACTACTTAATATACAGCTAAATTTTTTTTCTTTGTGAAATTTCTGGGAAAAAAGTACAATCAGTAATTTTTTTTCTTTTTCTCTAGATATGTTCATGGAAAGAATGAAAAAATGCGACCAACCAATTTAGATGTAGGCACACATACTGTGAACACTGGTTTCGGCATCTGCTCAGACTTACAAACTGAACTGCAACAAGCTTCTGGTGATAGTTGGAATGCCAATTTTAAGAAAACTTTATATGGGCGCACAATAAAGCGTTACCAATTTCCTGAAAAGCTACAGATTATAAAGCCTTTAGAAGGTATTTGAGGCCTTAATGTTTTGGATTCTATTATACTAATTTACTCTTTAATGAAACTCAGATGAATAGATTATTAGAATGGTGATCCCACTACGCGCTTTAATGTGTCTACTATGCCAAAAGTCGTGGAGATAAATCAAAAAATAAGTTACGTGTCCCTTAGTTTTGATGTAGGTGTTTCGTCAGTCCTAATTAAAAACCTTTATTGTTTAATATAACCCATCTTGTTTTGAAATTATTTGTCTTGTTTATCAATAGATAGAATAATAATGAATGTAAATATTAATGGATGGATAAAGAGGTAGAGATTTCATATTTTAAATAGGGAATAGAGACCAGCGTTTAGTAAAAGCAGACCTAGAAATTTGATAGCCTCTGGGTTCTAAAGACCCATAGTTTTCAAAGTTCACTGTTGTAAAATTTAAAAGATTTGTCTGTTAACTATGTGAATGATAGTCAGAATTGAAATAAATATTTCCTAAAGGGATATAAAAATAATTTTGATTGACAATGGTGTCAGATTTATGTGTTTTATTTCACATAAAACTTTATTGCATTAGATGAAGATGGTAGGATAACTAAAAAATTAAGTTTACAAATATCTTAGCTAAAGAAAGTCACTAATTTTTACGAAAAATGATTTGAGAAATACTCCTTTAGTTATTGTTTATTTATAATAGTTTTCTGTACATATTCATTCATTGTTTTGATTTTGATTTTTCTAATAAGTTTTATAAAGTTTTCTTTTTATGTGGGTAAACATTTCTGTATTTATGATTGAAAAACAGTGTTACATATAATTGTAATTCTTCATTGTTTAAACAAGAAAGAGATCATATAGAATATACAAAGTGAGTGGATATGCCTATAATGAAAATTTTAAATGAATAAGATAAAGATAAGATAAGATATAAAGATAAGATAAGATAATGATAAGATGTAATAAGATAAATACATAATTTTATTTTTTTTAAATCATCCCCTTTATTGTGGAATAGTAAATAGTTCTGATTTAAAGTTTTTTTTAATTTTTTTTTTTTAAATTTATTATTTTTCTTTTACATTTTTTTAAATATTTCCAAGTATTACATCTTAAAATTAGAAGTTTAACAATATTTTCAAGTTAAGTTTGTAATGCATATTAGAATAGAAGTTATTCATTATAAAATTAATGCACAGTTTTTAAAATGTTTATAAACTTATCAAATAACTTCAAAAATTTTATGAATTTGAGTTAAAGTTTTACATAATTTTAAATTAGTTTATTACGTGGTGATCTCCTATTTTATTTTTGTCAAACCCTAATTTTTGTTGATATAACTTGGGTTTTTTGAAATTTTGCTGATTCCGTCTTTTTATACTCAGTCATTAAAGTAAATCAAACACTAAGGCTGCTATAGACTCTCAAAATACCAAGAAGTTGAAATTTTGCAGAACTTTCAATGTCATTATCTGCCTCTGCCAAAAATAGACAATTATGAAATTTGCTGGAAAGGAAGCCTTAAGTATACCAGAAACAAAATCAATTCAACGATCTATGGTTACTGATTCAACTCTTCTATTATAAAATTACCCTAAAGTTTGAGACACATACCTGAGTAATTGAATACAGAAATAGTTATGGGAATGTTGTGTATTGTTTTAAAAAATGTGATTTAGACCCAATATGAACATCTGAAATTACATCATTCTCAAAAACTTACCACACCTTACTTGGCCTATAGGAACAAAGTACAGGTGTTAAAAGGAATCAAAGTTCGATACAAGTTAATTCAAACTATTAATTAGTCATAATGGTATATTTTATTTTATTTTATAACCGTCGTTAAATTGCCAACCCAATTTTTTGGGCTTACAACTACTAATCTTCAATTCCGTAGTCTTGTAATTTAGAACCCAATTCAGAAGGAACTCCTGGATCAAGTATTAGATAAATTCTCCATGGTGGAGGACTTTTTGAGGGAACTAACCCACATTTGCATTACATGGTGAGGAAAACCACAAAAACCTCCCACTGTTAGCGTGGCGGCAAGGGGACTCTGACCCATTATCCGTCTACCACTGAGGATATTTTTACGTCAGCACTGTGGTCAGTGCAAGCCGTAAGCGGAATTTGTATCGACCAGCCATCGCTGGGATTCAAACCCGATTCTCCTCATTGGGAGGTGAATGCTCTATCACCTAAACCATTGTTTCCCAAACTTATGACTTTTGTGTACCCTTTCTAAATTTTTCGTAATGCTGTGTACCACTAATAAAAAAATTTATGTATTTTTTTAAAAATGTGTTTATTTTTCTTTTTTGATACAAGTTTTGTTAATAAGTTTATTTGCATCAGTGAGAAGGATGATATTGCTTTTTGCTGTGATAAAAAAATTGCACAAAAGTTAAAAGTCACAACTGATTGACACCACTAATTATTAACTGTTAAATCTGAAAAAAATTGCCAATAGAAAAATACATAATCGTAAATTTTCATAGCTAACTTTGTTTTAAAATAATTTTTTTTTAAAATTTTCGTTTGTTGCAAGATATTTCACATAAGAACATGTATCTCCGCTAAATTGTTCCTGTGCCCCTGGGGGTACGCATACCACACTTTGGGAAACACTGCCCTAAACGAGTATATTTGTGAAAGTAAAGTTTTCAAAAAATTTTATATTAGCTATAAATTAAGTCTTCATGTTGATAATTAAAAATATTAACCATTTATTGAGCCTGCCATAATGTTAGAATCAATTGTTTAACTCTGTATTTTTACAGGCTCTCAAACTTTACATCATTGGCAAAAACTTGCCACACCTAACTTGAGTGGCATATTCGAACAAAGACCAGGCGTTAAAATTAAAGGTGAATCAAAACTCCAAGATTTAGATGAAAATGTTAGTCTTGGTGATTATGAAGAAGATGATGGTATGTTATTGTTTTATATTGGTTTATTTTATACAAGTTTTCTTTGTTGATTTTCATTTTCTATTTTTAAAACTTTTTTCTTGCAGATGGTTCACATCCTGGTAAAAGGTTTGAGAGTACTACATCTGTTTTTACATTTACCACCTCTGCCTTGCCACGCATGGATTCTACGAGTGTAACACCTAGGTAAGCTGTTTTTAGTAAAATTTTACCATTGTGATCTCTAATTTTAATTCCAACAATGTGTACTGACTACTTATCTTCAGGTTTAAAATGAGATTTTATTTACACTGTAAACTTCAATATTTTATTAAAGATGAGACTTATGATACTTTGAATTGGCCATAAAATTAAAAAAAAATATGCTATAAAAATTTCATGTTTGTTTTATTATTTTTTCCAGTATTTTTAAATTAAACAAAATTGTGCTTAGCGCATTAAAAAATTGTCTATCATGACTGAATTCATGATTATTAATCAATCTCAAATCTAACAACATTTTATAAAGATATTGATTTAATAATTAATATTAGCTTAGTCCCAATTTACATAATGTAGATATTCACACAAAGAAATTAAGAATGGGTTTTGCTAGAAATATTATTTGAAAATGATATTTGCAATTAAATTATTATGATTTTTACTAAATGAAATTAATTTACTTTAAAACTAATCTTTGCATTTCATTCATTTAAAAACTTTTATGGTGTTAGTTTAAATGGTGTTGCAATTTAGTAATTTGTGTTAAAAAGTTAGCAAATTTAATAGTTTTGTACACTAATACCTTTTTGTCTCCTTGATTTGAGTACAACTCAATGGTAGATTGTATATAACAACAAAAAATTCTTATTACCCATGCAAATATTACTTGCCATCATTGCATACATTATGCATATAATTTGTAAAGTATTTATACTTAAAAATATTAAATTTATTTTGTGGCACTTTCAATAATATATTTTATTAATAAAAACTTGATAATTGGATATTTGTAAAAATTTGTTTTCACTAATATTGATAGATTTTCTGTAGAAATAATTTTTTTCTATGTTTATATGATTTAATAAGATATTCTTTATTCGTGAAATAGTAACCAAGAAAGTCATTCGTAATTTTAAACTAAACCGATTGTAAAAATATGAATAATTTCTAGTTGAGAAGAAACCTGTTTTTTGGGGGTTATATTTTCTTTTCTGTGGTATTTATTTCACTGTAAAAGAAACTAACTACCCTATATATCTGTTACAATATTAAAGTATCAGTTCCACCTGATTATCTTAACCATATTCTTTCTATATGGGTGTAATATTCTACCTTCCTACTTATGTGTTCTGTCATCCTTTGTCTGCCTTTCCAGTTATCCATCTCTACAGCTGTCTACCAGAATTACCTCCCAACCCCCATCTACTTTAAATAGTCCCCAGCAGAGAACATCACAATTCCCCTTAACTGGTCGGAGCCTCAATAAACTTTTAGCTGAACGGGGGATACACGCCATGGTACCATCTGCTCTCAGTTCCTCCATAAAGGTAGACATGATTTTGCTTTGCTACTTTTTTTCCTTAGAAAGTTAACAACAATGAACAGATGAGTTATATAATGGTCCATTTTTAAAGTTTGAAAGTTAATATTACATATACAGTCAAACCTCAATATCTCGAACTTGAAGGGAGAGGAGAAAAAATTTGAGATACCGAAAATTCGAATTATCGAAAATAGCATGTTATCGATGGTAGAATAAAGAAAAATGCTCTTTTCTTACCTTATTTACTATTCCATATTTATTCTAAAAACACTTTTCACACTTAAACAGATTCAATTGTTGTTTGCTTTAGAGATGTGTAAGAAAGTTTGTCTATTACACTTTCTGAGTGGACTATAGCTTTAAATGTCTCCTCTGACATATTCAGCTGCCTCTCAATAAATCTCCTTACAGTGTCTACTGCAGAAAGTATTTGTTTGAGAATTGATTATGAGAATTGGCTTTCTCTTCTTAAAAAAAATATTTTTTGAATATTTTTTTTTTTTATTTGCAAAAAACAAATCTACACTATTTATGGAGAGAAAAATTCAAGTTATCGAGGGATAAGAAAGAAAAATTTGAGAAATCAAGGTTTTTTTAAACATTGTATAGGAAATTTGAAGGGAATATTTTTTTCTTCGAAATATCGAAAAATTTGTGAAATCGAGGTTCGAGTTAGCGAGGTTCGACTGTATTTTTCCTTTCCTTGAATTTTTTTTACAGTTAAATTTTTTTTTTATTCCTATTAGATTTCATATCAAATTACCATATGTGTTAATCAGTTTTGTAAAACTTTAGTGAAAATAGTGTTAATCTAAAGTAACTACAATTTTAAAGCCACCCTTATATGTTCCTTTAATTTCCTTAAAAAAAATTTTATTTATTATCTCCCCTTTTAAATAAGTTAACTCCCTGTCAATTTATATGTTTAGTTTTTAAAAATTCATATTCTCTATCTAGAAAATTTTTTAAATTAAAATTGTTTCATGTAAATCAGGAATAATTTTCCCCATATTGTTTATATTCTAATAAAGCATCACAACTGGTAGTTAAATAGTGTTGTCTTAGGTGTATTAAACAGTTAAAAAAATTTTTTAAATATCAATATTATTCATTATTTTTATTCTTATTCTAAGGAATCTTTGAGTTAAGTAAACAACATCACAATTAAAAATGTCTCATTTCAACAGATAAAAAGTTCTTTTTTTGAAAAAACAAAAATAGTAATGTACAATTATGAGAATTATTCATTTACATATTTTAATGAATTACTCTCATAATCGTGTATTATTATTAAAGTGTTTTATTATGTTTGTCTCCTTATCCAATATCTTTTTTTGAATTTTTTTTAATTCTCTATTTCTATCAAGTACGCTTTTGTGATTTGTGTACATAAATTTATTTAAATTTCATTGAGTCTTCCTATTATGTAAAAGATACTGCAACTTTTTTTTTCTTCTAATTATGTATCGCTACACAAATTTTTTTCCAACTAATACAGTAGGGAACCGATTATCGGGAACGATCGGGACCATCGATATTCCGGATAACTGATTTTTCCGGTTTTCTGAATCGCTACAAAAAGCCGTTTTTTTTTTTTATAGTTAAACCCAACTAAAAAAAAAAAGTTTGGAAATAATCTTAAAAAGAAGAAAAAACGATGAAGTAATACACTAATGATTATTTCCAAAATGATGGTCCTTTAAAAAAAGGACGAAAAATCCTAAAATCTTATGAGGAAAAAAACCATTTTTAGGAAAAGGACGGGAAAACTAATCGAATTTCCTTCCGGTTTTCTGATTTCCGGATAACGGGTTCTGTACTGTACTTCTATTTATCAAATCAGCAGTGAGGTGAATAAATTTATTGAAATAGCACAAAAAGCCATGATTAAGTATCCGTATTTGAACATCTTTAACGGGGATAGGGACTTTTTATTAATACCCGTTGTGTAATATTGTAACAATATTAGGAATTCAGAAATGTATGTTGCCAAACAAATTAGTTTTCATTATGTTATAGCATACCTTCATCCCAAGGCTATTTGTTTGAAACACTACTTATTTTATTCTTCAAAATAAATTATGAATTTTCTAACTTGAGGCTAAAAACATCATGGTGTATATTTCTATTAACATATTTGTTTAATATTATATGTTTGCAATAATAACAAAACATATTATTTTTCTATAAAATTTCACTAAATTGACTACTCTTCCCTTAAATGAAAATTTTGTTTTTCTAAAAATAATAAATGAAAATTGCATTGAATTTATGATTTTATTATTATTATACAATTTTTTGACTATCTGGCTGGTTCTCATTTTATATATTGTTCGATTACAACCAATAAAAATTAATGTAGTTACATTTCAATCTATGGTTTGCTACTGTTAACTGTTTTGTATTTTTCAAGTTGCTAAAGCCTAATTGGGATTTTTTTTTTTTCATTTCTATAATATTATACTCCAATTTATTTTTCTTTATAAGATTTATATTCTTCTAATATATAGAGATCCACAACCTTGAGAGTCAGAATTAACCTCCTTTTGATTTGTACTTTTTTTTTTGCTTTGAGTATAAAGAATATATAATAGATTGCCCATAGATAATAGATTAACATCTTAATAAGTACTGTTTTATGCAGTGTATGTTTTTTTTTACGCTGAAAAGTATGTAACATGTTAGTTTTGTGCCCTTGAACTTAATACATTCAACCAAGGACCTTTTAAATCTTGGATGTGTATTTTTTTTCTTCATAATTTTGGATCCCCTCTCTCTTTATTAAAAAATCAAATAGCCTATTTTTAAGCTTATGTAAGCTTTTTTCCCTTTTATTTTAAAGGTAAATTTTACCTATATTAAATGAAGATAGAAATTTTTTTTTTCATTCTGGTAAAGAGGATTCAGTGTTTTATATAAGCATTGCTTTTGCTCTCTCTCTAACTTACTGTCAAAAAGAAGTAAACTTCAAATTCCCTTAATTGCTTACATGTTATTTCCCTGACCCCAATAATTTTAATTCATTTTTTTATGTCTCTTAATGAGTTTATTTTAATGTCTTTCCTTTCTTCTTTTTATTTCCTTATCTTAATTTTGAAATAAAAGCTTATCATTGTATTGCATGCATAACATTTAAGTTTGAATATCATCCATGAAAAATAAACTTTGTTTTAATTGTTAATTTTTTCTGAATGAGAAAGGTGCAGAACCTGTTCTTGAATGCTTCAGCAGGGTGGCCACCCACCTGGAAAACATGGAATTATCAGTGAATTTTTTTTATACTGGAAAAAATCAGGAAAATGTGAACAGAAACCTGGAAAAATCCGGGATTTCTTAAAGAAAAGCTGGAATTTTTTCTTTGATTTTTCTTAATTTTACTAATTTAAACTATTTACTAATTTTCTTAATTAAGATTATTTTACCAACTGTTATACCCACTTTTAGATGAAAATTTATTGCCAAACAGTTGAAATACCATCAACTTAGCGATACGCTTGCATCAAAATTTGGTTCATTATAACCCTGTTAAAATCCCATGGTTTTTTAAAGAATAGAGAACCTTTCCTGGCCACCTCATTCCCATAAGGTGACCTGGCTAGCACTCTATCCCATGAGTCAAAGATGATAAAATAACATTTAAAAAATAATATTTTAAATAAAATACTTTATAATATTGACACTTTTCTTGTACCCATCCCAGGGCTCGAAAAAACTCAGAAATTTTACCCGTCCCCGAGGACGGCTTGTCCAACAATGTACCCATCCTCCTTTGAAACTAACCCGTAGCTTCTAACTAAATTAAAATATAATTTTCTCTTATTTATTACAAACATTTATGTAAATTGCACAATGAATTATTAGTTACTAGGTTACTAATAGTAACCTAGTATTTCTTGTGTGAAATAATTTATTTCTTTTATGAAATAATTAAAGTGACAAAGGTCAAGTTATCTGGAATGTCAATTTATCCGAGGGTACTGTGGTTTTTAAATGAATCAAATATGATGTTTGTCAGTTCCATATTCAAGCCAAGGATTTACAGAGGTTTCGGCACAAAAATCTGAAAGGGGTTTTACATTTAGGTAGATGTTCATAATTGCGCTTAATGCTTCTTGTTTAAGACCTGTCCAAATGCACATACGCAGATCAACTTTTCTTTTGTTTACCGATTACGTGAGCATTAGATTTCTAGATTAGAGGGTCATTTTAGAAGTGAGGTGCTTGACTCTTGTAAGATAACAAAAATTGAAAATGTATCACGAACATTAGCGAGAAAATGGCCGTCCGCGCGGACGTCGGATTCGAGAACTTTGTTGTGCAGTGCGATGCGGTGGACGTGCAGTTTTCCGAGCCTTGACCCATCCTGAACTTTATGAGGGGAAAAAAGCACATTAACCTTGAAATTTTAGTATTTTTACCTAGAAAAATCAGGGAAATTTGAAACCTGATCTCAGTGGCCACCCTGTATCAAACATTTGTATTTGACTCAGCATAGTGTTAGTCCATGAAGTGAAAACAATTGTCCGTTTCATTTATTATAGACTTGTTTGTTTCTTTATTTCCAGTCTGTCTCTCCGCCACCTACCCCAGCTCCTTCTCCTGAGGGATCTCCACCATCAACGCCTCTCCCATTTGGTGCAGTTAGGATTCCAGATCTAGTTGGAAGCGCCTCCATCGCCAAAGGTTTTCACCTACTGAAGAAACCCAGGCGATCTCGCTCACAACCTCCGCCAAAACGAAGTGCACAAGAAGCTGCAGTCGGCCTCAACTTGGACCTGATGGGACACGTCCAGGGTATAGGTCTCAAGACCCTTTTACCCCTGAAGGATTGTGGTCTCGTAAAACGTACCTGCAGCAGTGAGACTTTAACCACTTCTTCCCAAACAGTCACTTCCAAAATAACTCTTGAACAGGTATCTTTAACAAGTACAACTTCCAATACGAGTATCAAAGCAGAGGGTATTTTAAAGAAGGCTACTACTCCCGAAACAGCCCTCGACCGGCCTTGGGGATACGTCCCGCCTTCGGTCAGCATTGTAAAAAGTCCAGCAGCCATGGGTCTCACACCTACAGTTGCTCCTCCCCTGTCCCGAATGCCCAATCCTGTCCTGCAGTTGAACAGCCTCCGAAGTATTAGACCCAGCTTGTCTGAAATCGGTACTGTGGGATCGCTACGAACTCTTAGGAAAGGGGGTTATATTTAGAATGTGCATACGAACGAAACAAGGCATTTAGGTTTATGTATAAATCAGAGATATATAACTTATATTGTGGATTTGTATAGTGCTGAAATGACTGATATTTTTGGTTTAAAGAGATCTAAGAATAATATAGTTGTACTATAGAATTATGTTTTAAAATCCATAATGCTATGTGTGTTGTAAATATATGAATTGTATATTGGTTACTTTAGGACTTAAAGAAATTTGAAATAATTTTTGATGGAGATAAGAATTTTTTATTTTCTTAATTTGCCATTATGCAATAACCTCAATGTTTCCAACAGTAATAAATTCCCCTTAAACGTATTTATTTATTTAAACCTGTAAACTGTAATCTGATTTCTTGTCGCTTTTTTAGTGGTACTGTACTGAGATTTATTTTCATTCCATTTTAATGATGCAATAAAAAGTTTTTTTTATTTAGTTCTACACCAAATCGTAGTTCCATATACTTGTCATTAGCTAATTGATAGGAGTTTGCTCATAAACTTTAAAGTTATAATAGATAACGTATCCATATTTTTCTTCCTTTTTTTCTCCTCTATATTCTTTTGTAAGACTGGTTAGATGTTATTAGCGGCAGCGAACACACTTTAGCAATCTGCTACATGCTGGTAATATTTAGATCAAAGAGATTTTTTCAAGTAAATTATTGCCTTGTCTTTCAACAATTTTGTTTAGTTTCTCATTTTTATCTTTCCTATTGTAGATTAAAATTGATGAAATAATGGGGTATATACACATAACTGTGTTTGAAAATATCTTGATTAATGATTTAATTTTTAATAGAATAACTTCTATCAATTTTTAAACTGAATTGTTTTCTTGTTTTATTAACAATTTATTTAGTATAAAATGTTACATTTACAGTTAAGATATTAGTTTTAATGAGGTAGTAGGGCTTTTTATTAAAATTATATGTATTTTAAATTTTATGACCAAAGGGGATAGGGATCAAAAAAGTATGCTCATTTTAGTATTAAAAATCCTTTTAATACTTATTTTGAGTATTTATTGTGACACATTTTTGTATGTCTTGTAAAATTTCTATCAAAATTGTGGCATGTATGCTTAGAGATATATCATAGTTAGAAACTGTAAAAACTCCAGTGCGAAATTTACAACGATATTTCACGCAAAAGAAAAAGTTATCTGATTTTCGTGTCAACTTCATGCTTAGTTGATTTGGTGTGATTTTTTTCTTCCATTTCATTTGTATGAGGGGTTCCTATGTTAAAGAATGGATTTGGTCTGCATTCTTTTAATAATTTACTCTTTTAAAACTGTTACTTCTACTGTTACTCTTTTAAAACTGTTACTTATCAAAAATCTTATCATGAGTGTGCCTTGAATGATTCCAAGTAATATAATTTCATTTCTTCAGAAATTTGTAAACATTGCAATTTATTTTGCTTTATAACAATTTGCTTTCATTTTCATTGAAATTTGAATCATAATTGCATTGATATCTTGTGGTCCAATATTTTTTTATAATTTTTTTCCAATCGGTCTTTAACGCTAGAGAAATACTTCCACTTCTAAAATTTTCTTAAAATTGCTGTAACATTTATTTAAAGTATCATTTTATTATGCTTTGAAATGATGATTTGGTTTCTAAATTTAAAAAAAAAAAGTTTTTTTTAATGCAAAATTAGTGAATTTTTTTTCATTTGTATATTTTAAATTGACTGCAATCTTAATTTATTGAATGGTTGTTCTTTTAATGTTTAACTTATTTTGTTTTTGTAAAAACATTTTGTTATATTAAGTGAAGTTTAATGTTGATGTTTAATTAAAAATCTATTTAATTTTTTTCTTTAAATACGTTTAGAAAAACTGAATACTGTACTTAATTGCTTGTAATGTAGAATGCATTCTGTCTTGTAGTATAATTTATTATTTACGTTATAAGAACGAAATAGGCTGACGATAGATATTGTGTTTGTTTCAAGCTAGAGGTTAAAATTTTATTAGAATTGAGTTCGAGAATATTAATTCTAAGTTACCATATCTTTTGAAATAAATTATTAACAGTAGTTCAAAAATTACTCCATAACAGTAAAAACTAAAAAATATATATGTGCTTTTCATTAAGGTTATTGAAAATGTCACTGTTATAAATTTAGAAAAGTATTTTTTTAAAAGATAAAAATATGTTGATTTTTTTTTGTTTGTTTTAATAAAGTTCCTATATGTGCTTTTTATTTAATTCTAATATGTAGTTGGAATAATTTAAGTATGTGTTACATATACTATATTGTAATTTAAATAATATATAGCTACCATTAATCTTATTAGCTCTTTAATAATGTAGAATTTACTATAATTTAATCATTTCGTATATAATCAAATCTTCACCAAAAATAAAAATAAGTTAAATTACTAAAGATATATGTTGAGAAATTATTTTGTTTTAACTAAAAAAAGGATTCCAAAAATGTTTTTTTAAAGTTTAATTATATTTACTTTTTTAATAAAGTCTTAAAATCTTTATACAGTTATAAATTGAATTAAAAGAAATGAACTTATTGAAATTAAAAAGAAGAAAAAAAAACTGTGGGTAAAATATTTTCTAGAATCATTTTTAAATTACATTCCTTTAATGACTTTAATTTTATATTTATATCATGTCACTTGTTACAGAATTGGAAAAAATTAAAAAAAAAAAAAGGTTTTTAATAGTATGTTAAGAGATAGTTTTATTCATCAACATTTCAAACATATTGAGGCAAAAAAAAGTTGTTTTTTTTAAAAATTAAGAAAATCATATAAAAAATGTATCAAAATATTTTGTTTCAATGAACTCTGTTTCAAAATTATCTTTAAATCTCCTTTCAATTGAAATTTTATATCTATACATTTTGAACTTTAAACTATCAAGTAGGTATTTTGTTACACAATTAACTAAATTAAGTTTTTATTTATTAAATTTTCAAAATCATTGAGGCAAAAAAGTTTGTGTTAAACAATGAATAACAACTTATAGTCATTTTAAGTTGGTATAGTTCCTTGTGATGAAAGTTTTGAATTTTAGTCAAAGGTTGTGTATATATGTTGAGGTGCTGTGTATTTAGTATGAATAATTTATAGAATTTTGTAGATATATTTTTTTTCTTTATACACTGCAGCTGCTTTAATTTTTATGGACCAAAGATTTCTTTGTCTTTGATGATATTGCGGTGAAAATAAATCTACTGAAAATATTTTTTGTCTTTGTAATTTATTTTTATTTTCAGCTTGTATTAATGATCCCAATTAGAATCATTTTTAGTATTTTTGAATCTGAAATACCCATTAACAGAAATCCTTCACTATTGCAGCGGTGCAGATTATTTTTTCATCTAAGATTATTAAAAAAAATTCCGGAAAAATTGTGGAGACTTCTTTATACAGGATCTTTAAACTTGTGTCTGATCTAAATTAAAGAACACTGCAGAGAGCAAGAAGTAAATAAAGGCAGTCATTTTGTGATTTTTTTTTTCATTTTATGTCTCTCTTTATAGGTTAATACATTTCTATTTCATTTTTAATAAATTTAAATCATGAATTTGCACACATTATGATTTATACTATAAAACAATTTTGTGAATGCTGTTATTGTTTCGAATGCAGAGATGATTGTGCTCTGGAAAAAAAATTTGATTTCCAGATTTTTCACTAATTGCAATCCGGAAGTTTCCGGAAATCCAAGGTCCAGAAGTTTCAAGCTATCATGGATCACATTTATGTATAGAAATTCTTGAATATTTTATTTAAAAATATTAGAACTAGAATTTATACTTGGCATCTCTTTCATTTGTAAATATTTTTTCCTGTTAGAATAATAATTAAGTAAGTTTTAAAAAGAAATTGAGCTAGAATTCTTGTACTGATTATTGCTTGCTAGAATATTTAAGTAAGTATTACTAATACATAATGAAGCTAACCTCATTTATACAAATCAATTCAAAACTTTTTTTGTTCTAAAAATGTTCACTTTATATTTATTCAGAACTCTCTTTTTAAATTAATTAAAAAATCTTTGATGAATTAAATGCCTATTAATATTCGAAATTATGAGTAAACATAATACATAGCATTTAAAGTATGCACAGATAATTGCGCTCCGGAAAAATTCCGGATTTTTCGCTAACTGGGATCCAGAAGCTTCGAGAAATTATCGATCACATTTATGTCTAAAAATTCTTGAGTATTTTATTTAGAAATATTAGTACTAGAATTTATACTTGGCATCTCTTTCATTTATAAATATTTTTTCTTTTAGAATAATAAATGTGATTAGACATAAAAGTAAACTTAGTAAGACCCAAAAAAGTAGTATAATTATTCATTTAAATTTTCGTGCATATAATTTATTTAGAATTTCATGTTTTTAAAATATCAATGATTTAAATTTATGAAGACATTAATTTTTTGAAATGCGTCATTATTGACTTTACTCTAGAAATTTTCAGTATTATTCAACCATTATATGTTTTTATGTTTATTAAAATTACATTCAAATACTTTTAAAACGTATTAAGTATGTGGAAATAATTATTATATTAAATACATTAATGAAAATTTGAGGATGCGTTATTCTTCATTTGATATCTAACTCATAAGTTGGGTCTTATTAAATAATTGAGGGTATTGAACTTAAATAAAAATAACTATTTCATTTATTTTGTGATCTTGTATTAATTATATAATAATTTTAAACCTTTTAGAGCAAAATATTAAGTGTTATTATAATAATATTTTTAGATGCTATTAAACATTACTAATTCATTTTATCAGAGCTATGATAAGTAACTATTAAAAAAAATTAAATCTGATTTTTATTTATTTATTTTTACAAGCCTTGAAAGCTGATTACTTAATTATCAGCTTACAACCAAACATTTTATTAATATATTGATGTTATATTTTGAAAATTTTTTTTTATTCTTTAAATAACTATTTTTAATTCTCAGGAAAAAAATTTGCCAAACTTATCTTCGTGGGTTTAAATTTTTAATTATTTGATCAAATTACCACAGTTATTTTATTGCTCTTTTGTTCGCTTTATCTTTTTAGGAAATCTAATTGTTTTTAAAAATAGCTTATTTCGTATTAAGAGTACGGTGTATCACAGGAGAAGTTTTCTCATCGCCAGTTTACCTTCATGAGTAATTTAAAGTATGGAAAAAAGTGTGTCCATCAGGCAAACCTGCAGTACAGTACGCAAGGAAATTTCGCTTACTGAAAATGAAATATCAACATGTAAACAAATTACTGGAAGAGAACTTCCCCATTTTGTAATTCTAAGTTAATTTCTCTCATAATTTCTTTCCATTTTGGTACTTCACGAATTTCTTTACAGAATTTGAAATTTTGTGGTTTACTGTGGGTTTGCCTGAACACACTTAAAATTACATAAGGAGGTGATACAGAATTCGTAAAGAAAAGTTTCTTTCCTGCTATAGCCTCCTCTTAAGTACGTTCGAATTGCAAATATCATAAAAGACTTATGTCGTTTATCGTTCTTTTTAATGATGCATTGGCAGGTATTTTAAATTGAAGAATATCTTATATTTAACTTCAATATTGAGCAATATCTTGAACACCAAAGAAATGTGCATTAATATCTTATAGAAGAACTGTGACGTGTTAGTTCCATCAAAAAATTCTCCACGAAGACGAATTTCTTCCAATACTCATAGTCTGTCTACATAAAGAACTCCCCTAGCCATTAGTCTGGAGTGGTGGCGTTGACTATGGTTACGGGGTTTAACTATTTCAAGTAGGGGTGTTAGGTCATTATTTAAGATAGGTTTCGGCGAGAGAAAGGGAATCAGGGGGGAAAGAAGCTCCCCTTTTTGAAATGCACTATTTCTTATTTCCACAGCAGCAGACGGTCTTAGACTTCGTGGCGAGGGGAGTTTTTCTATAGACAAACTGTACTTGATCCAGGAGCTCCCTTGTCTTCTGCATTGGGTTCAAAATTACAAGGCTACGGAGTTGAACATTTGTAGTCGTAAACCTAAAAAATTGGGTCAGCTGTTCAACGACGGTTATAAAATAAAATATCGTATAGATATTTTTAAAATATTGCAATTACAAAATAATGTAATAGCATAAAATTTTTTTATTCTTCTCATTAATAATGTACTGTATGTCATACAAACTGAAGTCAAATAACTGAAAACATGCTAATGTCTCTTAAGACATACGTCATTTATAGAAGAAAAGAAAATGAACTATTTTTAATAGCCTTTGATAAAAAAAAATGAAATGATATAATAAAAAAAAGACTTGTCTTCACTGTGTTCAATTGAAACTCTTATTTAAAATCTTATCTTTTTTTTTTCCACCAAACAATTTTTCTGTCCGTAAATCTGAAAATACTTTCAAAATAATGAGCACTTTCAAAAATAATACGGAAATACATTCGAATGGTTTAATCATAAGGCTGGTCAGTTTAATATATTTCAATTTTTAAATAATTAAATCCTTATTTATTCTACTTATTTTCCTCATTTATTTTCTAAAAATAAGTAATTCCTTATTTATTTTGCTGCAATATTTGAAAACAGAAATTTATTATCGCACTAAAAATTAATTCTGTCAATGGTATTTTCGTACAAAAAATAATTAGGAGAAATATTTAATGTTATTATTAAATAGGTATAATATTGAAACATTTTTGAAGTATAAGGTGTAAAAATATTTACATAATACTAAACTGGGTAAGTTTAAATAAGCAAAATTGAAACTGTGTACCGAATCTATTGAAGGGGGAGGGGGCTGCGTAGGCAAAAAAATTATAGTCTGTATGATTTTTCCGTTGGAATAAATCAAGAGATTTGATCACCTTCCAAAATCACCATAATAAAAAAAACATTATTTTTGGGATTTTAAGAATGAAGTGGAAAAACTATGACAATTCATTATAATCGTGGTAGGTAAAATTTGTCTTCGTATGTGGTAAAGGTTTTCGTGCTAACAGTTTGACATTTGCTATCATACATGATGTTCATCAGAGTTACAGGGCGTGATCTAACACGATAAGCTTGCTGGCAGTTTGAGATTTTCTTGACATTCATCAGAGTTGCAGAGCGCAAGGTAACAAAACAATAATCATGAGGGCCATTCTTTCAATTCAAAGCTGCCTCCCTGTAAGAGTGGACTGTTCCAAATCTTAATCTATAAATTTTTCCTTTCTGACAACAAATTGCATTTGAAAACATATCCACGCTTCGAGTTTATTACATTTTGTAATTACTTTTATTTTGTGTTATTTTATTCATTAATTTTTCTTCAGAAGTTGGGATTTTTTCCCCACCTTTTTATTTCGACTGATGGAGGTGACTACGAATTTCACATAACTTAAATTAGATAGAGCAGCAAATACCGTGCAATGGTTTTAACTGTAAAAAAAAACAGTGTAAGGAAAACCGAGAAATCGCACTTCTCCCTTTTCTTACCTTTCTAAGCCTGCAAAAGAAAGTCAAAAATCCACTATCTGTCGAAATCATATTCGAAATTGTTATTTTGTAATCTTATTCCCAAGGCATTCCCTACTATTAAATTGATGCAGATATATGTATTATAATCTGATACATTTGAATTTTTCATTTGAACAAAGTTCTTGAAAAGTAAGTGAGTTTTTGTAGTACCTTTAGATCAAATCTAACCATTTGATCAAAAACTATTTACGATTGTTGCATTTATTCACTGAACAAGTAAATTTCTGCGCAATTGGAATATGAGAGACTTCAGACATCTATGCCTTGTGTAATAATCAATATACTTTATAAATAATCCTCAATGGCACTGTAAAAAACCACAACTTGAAGCTCTCCCAGTTTCTGATCGATGGATACTGGCATGTATGTAAAGTAAAGGCGGTTGGTGCGTAATTCTGATCGTATATTTTACAGTTAGTCCCGAAATTCTGAAGCCTTAACCTGGACGGCAAACTGACATTAACGGGGTTGCTTCTTTTTCTCTTAGTATACCATTACGAATTTTTTTTTATTAATTTAATACATTTTAATCTTTATTTAATTCATATTTATTATTATCATCTTAATTACAAATAGTAAAATGTATTGTTCCTATTCTACCATTATTTCAGTTTCCTTTTGCTTTTTCAAAACACGAAATATCCTTTTAATCGTATGCAAATTGCAAAAGAAAAATATCCCGTATTTAGGTCTTAGAATTTTTTTTTCTCTGG